TGGGAAGAGCAACAAAGATGATCAGGGGACTGATAAAACATATCAGGAACGGTGACTGGAATTGGGTATGTCTAGTTCAGGGGTAGGCAACCTGGGCTCTTTTATGACTGGTGGACTTCAACTCCCAGAATTCCTCAGCCATTGTGGGGGAACTATGGGCCCCCTCATGGCTTGTGGACTTCAACTCCCAGGATTCCTCAGCCAGCATGGGGGAACTATGGCCCCCTCATGACTGGTGGACTTCAACTCCCAGAATTCCTCAGCCAGCATGGGGGAACTATGGCCCCTTCACGACTGGTGGACTTCAACTCCCAGAATTCCTGAGCCAGCCTGGCTCAGCTTGGAAACTGCTCCCTTTCTCCTCAGCGTTGCTGGCTCAGGAATTCTGGGAGTTGAGGTCCACGAGTCATAAAAGAGCCGAGGTTGCCTAGCCCTGGCCTAGTTTAATGAAGAGGAGGAGGGGGGACAGGATAGCAGCGTTCCAGTATCTCAGGGGCTGCCCCAAAGAAAAGGGAGTCAAGCTATTCTCCAAAGCCCCTGAAGGCAGGACAAGAAGCAAAGGATGGAAAGTAATGAAGCAGAGAAGCAACCTGGAACTAAGGAGAAACTTCCTGACAGTGAGGACAATTAACCAGTGGAACGACCTGCCTCCAGAAGCAGTGAATGCTCCAACCTTGGAAGTTTTTAAGAAGAGACTGGACAGCCCTTTGTCTGAAATGGGATAGGGTTTCCTGCCTGAGCAGGGGGCTGGACTAGATGACCTCCAAGGTCCCCTCCAACTATCATCATCATCATCATCATTATTATAAAACAAGAAAGTCCAGAAAAAAAGCACCTTTGGGACGCTTGCATCAAGGTACAGCTCAAGTCGTTCCCCATTTTGTTTGACCGCAGAAAAACAGGACCCTTGAATGCTAGAGGTTACCACTTTAATTCAGCCTTTTTGGAAGCTAAAACAGATTTATTTATTTTTTCTTGGCTGTCGTACGTCCAACGGAGCCCATAAAAAAACCCCTAAAAAACACCTCCAAAGTGAAAATGTCACAAATCAGCCCCCCTCCCCGAAGCCTATACAGAACAATGCGTCAGGGCCGTTGTGCGTGTCTCAATTAACTCTGTTCGTAATACTCAATTTCTCTCCAGCAAGGAGCGACTGCTGGGACGAAAAGTGAGGAAGCAAATGAAACATGGCCGGAGGTGAAGAAGAGGATTTTGCTGACCGTTAGAAAAAAAAAAAATGACAATTTGGCTCAACCTAGCAGGAAAGTCTCAAGTGTTAGAACTGTTCGTTAATAACACACACACACACACACACACACATCCAATTTGTCAAGATGAGTCTTAGATGGAGGCACTCAGAAGCAGCTGGAGAGTCCTGAATGCCCCAGTGCTGGTTATTTTTTGGGGGGGAGGGGGCACAGAAGCCTGCCCCCAAAACATATAAAACAGTGGTTCTCAACCTGTGGGTCGGGACCCCATTTGGGGTGGAATGACCATTTCACGGGGGTCGCCAAACAACGCAGTCCGCCATTTCCCCCCCCCCTTTTCCTTAGCTGGGCTACTCCCTTTTATTCTAGTGGCTTTTGAAAGCCAATAGAATAGACTCTCTTGAATAGAGTCTCATTCTATTGGCTTTCAAAAGCCAATAGGAATCGTCCAGGCTGTCTCTGCCCTGCTGAGCCCGCCCAAAATCCCATTCTGCAAACGGTGCTGCACCAGTTGAGTAGTCCTCGACTTACGACCGGTTGGGGGGTGGCGGCATTAAAAAGGTTGAGAACCACTGATATAAAGAATGTTTGCAGGAATTGGGTATGTCTAGTCTAGAGAAAAGAAGAAATAGGGGAGACATGATAGCAATATTCCAGTATCTGAGGGGCTGCCCCAAAGAAGAGGGGGTCACGTTATTCTCCAAAGCACCAGAGGGCAGGACAAGATATAATGGATGGAAACTGACCAAGGAGAGAAGCAATCTGGAATTAAGGAGAAACTTCCTGACAGTGAGGACAATTAACCAGTGGAACTGCTTGCCACCAGAAGTTGTGAGCGGTTCACCACTGGAGGTTTTTAAGAAGAGACTAGACAATCACCTGTCTGAGATGATATAGGTTCTCCTGCTTGAGCAGGGGGCTGGACTAGAAGACCTCCAAGGTGCCTTCCAGCTCTATTCTGAGGTTTATTATTATAAGCTCATCATTGTAAACCCTCTGGAAGATGGGCAGATGGAGACAATCCCTTCTTGCTCTCTGTTTTGCAGTTTAGTGCCTCTTTTCCGTGGCTGGCCTCTCCAGCTGGAAATACAGGCAGTCCTCAACTTACGACCACAACGGAGCCCCACATTTCCGTTGCTAAGCGTGACCGTTGTTAAGTGCGTTTTGATCCGTTTTACGACCTGTCTCTTGACCCAGCGGTTAAGTAAATGACTGCAGCTTTAAGTCTGGCTTCCCCACTGACTTTGTCAGGTCAGGTCGCAAAAGGGGAACACATACACTGCAACAGTCATAAATTTGAGACGGTTGCCTGGGGGGGGGGAACAGGGACTCTGCAACTGTCATAAGTACAAGACAGTTGCCTTTGGGGAAGAAACAAAGTCCAGTTGCCTTTTGTAAAAAAAAAAAAAAAGCACTTTGGGGATAACGGTTAGCATCTGCTAGGAGTCAGATAAGACGGATTTGACTTTAGTACATTTGTAGCTATGTAGGGATTCTAGGCTGATTCCTCTTTTGACACCACCCCCACTCCTCCTCCTCAATTTTGCAATTTAGATGAAAAGGAAAGTCTCTTGCAGATAGGACAAGGGTAAGCTCCCTGTATTTAGGCAAGAAAAATCAAATGTACAGGTATAGTATAGGGGATACTTTGCTCAATAGTAGAAACTGTGAGAGGGATCTCGGAGTCCTAGTGGACCATCCCTTAAATAGGAGCCAGCCGTGGGCTGCAGCTGCCCAAAAGGCCAACACAGTGCTAGGCTGCATTCACAGAGGGAGAGAATCAAGATCAGGTGAAGTGTTAATACCATTTTACAAGGCCTTGGTAAGGCCACACTTGGAATGCTGCAGCCAGTTTTGGTCACCACGATGTAAAAAAGATGCTGAGACTCTAGAAAGAGTGCAGAGAACAAAGATGATCAGGGGACTGGAGGCTAAAGCATACAAGGAAAGGTTGCTGGAATTGGGTATGTCTAGTTTAATGAAAAGAAGGACGAGGGGGGACATGATAGCTGTGTTCCAATATCTCAGGGGCTGCCCCAAAGAAGAGGGAGTCAAGCTATTCTCCAAAGCGCCTGAAGACAGGACAAGCAACCGATGGAAGCTAACCAAGGAGAGAAGCAACCTGGAACTAAGGAGAAACTTCCTGGCTGTTAGAACAATTAACCAGTGGAACAACCTGCCTCCAGAAGCAGCGTGCTCCAACACTGGAAGCTTTTAAGAAGAGATTGGACAGCCCTTTGTCTGAAATGGTGTAGGGTTTCCTGCCTGAGCAGGGGGTTGGACTCGATGACCTCCAAGGTCCCTTCCAACTTTATCATTATTATTATTATGGATCATCACACAGTCAGCCAGATGTTCAGACTGGATTTGGCCTTTTGTCTACCTATCGAGTCCTTACCCAGGACCTGGGATAGGCAGATGTGGATGTTTGATGGTATTACAGATATCGTCGCAGGATGGAAGCAGTTCCTAGGAAGGCCACCTTTTGCAATTGACTGATGGCGAATTTGTTAATGCCAATGAAGGTGTTCAAGTGATGCTCCAGTTGTTTTGGGATTGCACCCAAGGAGCCTATGACTATTGGTACCACCCTTGCTTGCCTTTGCCCCAGTCTTTCTATTTCTGTTTGCAGGTCTTTGTATTTTGTGATCTTCTCCAGTTCTTTCTCATCTATTCTGCTGTCTCCAGGTTATTATTATTTTATTTTATTATATTATTTATTTTATTTTATTATATTATTTTATTTTATTATTTTATTTTATTATATTATTTTATTATTTTATTTTATTTTATTTAATAGGAAGCTACAGAATCCAGGGTTTACGGCTTAAACTTTTCCCGCTTGGACACTTTCACTTCTTGGCGCAATTAAGACTCTCCCGCGCATTACAAAAGTAGAGAATCAGCAGACAGTCCCCTTCTTTCTCTGTTCCCCAACTCAGTTTTACAGTTTTTTTTGCCATTCTTTGCTGACGAATGATCCGTGTATTGTTAAATCTCTGAAGTGAAGTGGCACTTCAGTTCTTTACACAAAAATACAGACACACACTCACCCACCAATGTCTGTTCTCCCCCGTAGCTGAACAGAAGATTGAAAAAAACAAAAAAACCATTTATTCTAGACTCCACATTTAAGCTATTTCAATGCAATGGACAAGGTCTTTTTAAAAATAAATAAATAAATGTGTTTTTGTGTGTGTGTGTGTCTCTCTCTCTCTCTATGTCTATGTATGTGTGTGTGTGATTTATTCCACCCACACACCCCTGCCCCAAGGACAGCTTGTTCAAAAAAAAAAAAAAACCCAAATCCCTCAAACGCTACAATAAAAAAAAGTATTCAACTTCTCAAGTCCCATTATAAAACAGGCACAGAAAAGCCATTCATTTTTTTCTCGTCTTTAAACCTCGCATCTTCGTTCCAGTTACAATTATTCTCTCTCTCTCTCTCTCCCTCCCTCCCTCTCTCTCCCTCCCTCTTTCTCTCTCTCTCCCTCTCTCTCCCTCTCTCCCTCTCTCCCTCACTCTCTCTCTCTCTCTCCCTCTCTCTCTCTCTCTCCCTCCCTCCCTCCCTCTCCCTCCCCCCCTCTCTCTTCCTCTCCCTCTCTCTCTCCCCCTCCCTCCCTCCCTCCCCCTCCCCGCCCCCCCTCTCTCTCTCTCTCTCTCTCTCTCTCTCTCTCTCTCTCTCTCTCTCTCTCTCTCTCTCTCTCTCTCGTATACACACACACACACACACACACACACACACTCCGAAAGTTTTATGGTGAAAACCTGCAAGGATGAAAGAGAGAGAGACAGAGAGAGAGAGAGAGAAAACGAATTTTGCAATTCGCAGAATTCTTACCTTCTGCTTCTCCTGCCCTGTAAGGGTTGTATTTCGGCTTGGGAGCCACAACCGGAGCGAACTTTTTGGGGGTCTGCTGAGTGGAAACGGAAATGCTGGGGGTCCCAAAACTGTGGGTGGTCTCCATCCTTGCAGTGACGTGCCCCAAGGGCTCACTGGAGTTCTTGGGTGGTAGCCATGCTGGGCGAGACATTGCTCAGTTCCTGCAGAAAAAAAAGAGGAATTAAAAGGCATAGAATAGAATAGAATAGAATAGAATAGAATAGAATAGAATAGAATAGAATAGAATAGAATAGAATGTATGGAATGGGATGGGATGGGATAGTATAGGATAGGATAGAACAGAAATACAGAATAGAATAGAAAATATAGAATAGAATAGAATAGAACAAAGAAAGAATAGAATAGAATAGAATAGAATAGAATAGAATAGAATAGAATAGAATAGGATAGGATAGAACAGAAATACAGAATAGAATAGAAAATATAGAATAGAATAGAATAGAACAAAGAAAGAATAGAATAGAATAGAATAGAATAGAATAGAATAGAATAGAATAGAATAGGATAGGATAGAACAGAAATACAGAATAGAATAGAAAATATAGAATAGAATAGAGAAAATGAATAGAATAGAACAAAGAATAGAATAGAATAGAATAGAATCAATAGAGAACAGAATAGAATAGAACAGAAATTAGAATAGAATAGAATAGAATAGAATGAGGAATATAATGTATGGGATAGGATAGGATAGGATAGAACAGAAATACAGAATAGAATAGAATAGAATAGAATAGAATAGAATCAGAGTTGGAAGGGACCTTGGAGGTCATCTAGTCCAACCCCCTGCTCAGGTAGGAAACCCTGTACCATTCCAGACAAATGGTTGCCCAATCTCTTCTTAAAAGCTTCCAGTGTTGGAGCATTTGAAATTTTCAAATTACAAATAGTCCTCAAATTAGAATAGAACAGAACAGGACAGAACAAAACAGAATAGAGCTGGAAGAGACCCTGGAGGTCATCTAGTCCAACCCCCTGCTCTGGCAGGGAACCCTATAACATTCCAGACAAATGGCTGTCCAGTCTCTTCTTAAAAACCTCCACTAATGAAGCAGCCACGACTTCTGGAGGCAAGCGGTTCCACTGATTAATTGTCCTCCCTGTCAGGAGGTTTCTCCTTAATTCCAGGTTGCTTCTCTCCTTGATCAGTTTCCAACCATTGTTTCTAGCCCTGCCCTCTGGTGCTTTGGAGAATAATGTGACCCCCTCTTCTTTGTGGCAGCCCCTCAAATATTGGAACGCTGCTATCATGTCATCCCTGTTTCTTATTTTCTTTAGACCGGCCAAACCCAAGTCCCGCAGTCGTTCTTCGTATATTTTGGTCTCCAGGCCTTGGATCACCTTAGTTGCTCTTCTCTGAATTTTTTCCAAACTCTCAACATCTTTTTTGTGATAGGGTGACCAAAACTGGCTGCCGTATTCCAGGTGTGGCCTCACTAGGGTCTTATAAAGCGGTACTAATACCTCGCCTGATCTTGGAATTACAATTGCTCGTTTAGCCGTCATTCCACATTACCGCAGCAGTAAAAAAAGTGGCCTACGACCTGTCCTCGCGCTAACGACCATCGCAGCACGTATAGGAGTAGTCCTTGGATTTACAACTGTTCATTTAGTCATGTTTTTTTTTCCAGTGCCATTGTTAACTTCAAACGGTCACTAAACAAAAGGACCGGCTGTACATATTTTTTTTTTTTACAAATTTTATTTATAATACAGTTAAAAACAAACAAACATTGGATTTAACGTGACATTCCAGTATATACATTCTTATCAGATTATTCCACTTTTCGGCTGGACATATTTTAACCCTCCCAGCCTAGATCGTTTACTCCCCGTAATTTGGGGGGGGCAGCCCTCACCCCACATTGTGAAAAAGGACAACCTGTTGTGCAGAAACGCACAACCTCGATTGTGCAGAGGAATCAAACAGAGAATTAAATTTCCAGATCTGGCAGACCAAAGGTGTATTTGTGATGGATAACAGACACCCCCTTCCCGCAGCATTTGTTCCCCAGAGAAACGAAAATATTGGCTGAGTTGGAGAGAAGATAAAGCTGTAGTAAGAAAGCTTCTCTGTTCTCAAAAGCCTTGGAAACCTACTTTTTATCGACAGGGGCTGTAATGACCATCAATCACCGCATTGTCAGAAAGGAAAAAAAAAAAAGAAGAAGAAGAGAAAATTTCCTACAGCTAGAGAGAAAAATCCAGACAGCTGTGACTAAATGCGTTTGACAGCATTTGGGCTTGGAGAGCGGGAAAGAAAACGTTATTTTACTCTCTGGATAGCAGCTAGTAAGTAGACGATGACCTAAGGTGCGTCTGCTCCCACCCTTCACCGCCCCCCCCCCACCACAAAGAAAAAGAGAATGGGAAGCTATTCACATCCCGGGGGTTACTCACATCAGAACAGATAAACCTATACCGTTTGTCTGAAATGGTACATACGGTTTCCTGCTGGAGCAGGGGGGTGGACTAGAAGACCTCCACGGTCCCGTCCAGCCCTAGGATTCTATAATTCTATGATCTGAGGACCCCACAGTTCTTTTCTCCTCCTCCTCCTCTTCCTCCTCCTCCTCCACACATACCCCTCTCTTTTAATAATAGTAGTAAAGTTGGAAGGGACCTTGGAGGTCATCTAGTCCAACCCCCTGCTCGGGCAGGAAACCCTACACCATTTCGGACAAATGGCTGTCCAGTCTCTTCTTAAAAACTTCCAGTGTTGGAGCATTTACTGCTTCTGGAGGCAAGCTGTTCCACTGATTAATTTTTCTCACTGTCAGGAAGTTTCTCCTTAGTTCTAGGTTGCTTCTCTCCTTGATTAGTTTCCATCCATTGCTTCTTGTCCTGCTTTCAGGTGCTTTGGAAAATAGCTTAATTCCCTCTTCTTTATGGCAGCCCCTGAGATATTGGAATACTGCTATCATGTCCCCCCTTGTCCTTCTCTTCGTTAAACTAGACATACCCAATTCTCGCAACCGTTCCTTATATGTTTTAGCCTCCAGTCCCCTAATCATCTTTGTTGCTCGTCTCTGTACTCTTTCTAGAGTCTCAACATCTTTTTTACATCGTGGTGACCAAAACTGGATGCAGTATTCCAAGTGTGGCCTTACCAAGGAATTGTAAAGTAGTATTAATACTTCACGTGATCTTGATTCTATCCCTCTGTTCATGCAGCCTAGCACTGTGTTGGCCTTTTTGGCAGCTGCAGCACACTGCTGGCTCCTATTTAAGTGATTGTCTACTAGGACTCCGAGGTCCCTCTCACAGTTACTACTATTGAGCATGGTGCCACCTATGCTGTACTTGTGCATTGGTTTTTCTTGCCTAAATGTAGAACCTTGCTTTTTTCACCATTGAATTTCATTTTGTTAGTTAGTGCCCAGTGTTCAAGTCTGTCCAGATCCTTCTGTATCTTAAGATTGTCTTCTGGAGTGTTGGCTATTCCTGCCAGCTTGGTGTCGTCTGCAAATTTGATGAGTTCCCCATCTATCCCTTCGTCCAAATCGTTGATGAAGATGTTGAAGAGCACTGGGCCCAGAACAGAGCCCTGGGGCACCCCACTACACACTTCCCTCCATATAGATGCACTGATAATATTACTTAGCTTAGTAACGAAATGTCTACAAGAAAACCACCCAGTTCAGAGAGCACCAAAGACCCCACAGTCCTCCTCCTCTTCCTCCTCCTCCTCCTCCCTGCAAACTCCTCTTCCTTCTGGCACTGATGATGTAACCTAGTTGGGCCATGAAATGTCTGCATGAAAACCACCCAGCTCAGAGAGCACCAAGGACCCCTGAGTCTTCTTCCTCTTCCTCCTCCTCCTCCTCTCTGCAAAGCCCCCTCCCTTCTAGCACTGATGATGTAACCTAGTTGGGTCATGTAACGTCTGCATGAAAAGAATCCAGCCCAGGGAGCACCAGCTTAATACAATTGCAACACAAAAACAAGTGTCAGTAGGAGTAACCTGACAAACCTCAAACAGATAAACCACCAATCTGAGGTCTATGGAGGAAGTCCAGGGCTTTCTTGCAAACCACCACCGTAACAAAGTCGCTTAAGATCACGCAAGACACAGCCTGAGTATCTCGTAATAAACACAAAACTGGGGAAGAGAGAGACGTTTAGGTGCCAAAGAAGGAGGAAAAAAAAAGACAGGACAATGAAGCTGCATGGAATCAAGGTGGTGCCTAAGCAGCACATTTATTTTATCTAATTATTCTATTTATAGGTTGCCCAACCCCTAAGCAGTTCTTCAGCAGTAAGCTCTGAATGCCAAGAAGACCACTAACTAAAAGGGCAAAGAACTAGAGCAAAACCAAAGAAGATTTTAATATTATTATTATTATTATTTTAAAAAAAATAATAGAGGAATTTCAATCAATTTTAGTTTGAATAACGCTTCCTTTGACACATCTTTCTAAAACCTATCTCATGGGGGCAGTTATATTTAACATGGGTTCATTTGGATCATTTTTTTAATACTGATAATTTTTAGATTTGCACAGAGAGCAGTCTGTCTGTCTTTCTGTCTATCTAAGTATCTATCTATCTATCTATCTATCTATCTATCTATCTATCTATCTATCTATCTATCATTATATCTATCTATTTATCTGTCTATCTATCTCTATCTATCACTATCTCTATCTATCTATTCACCATCCATTTATAAATCTATCTATCTATAAATCACTCTCTCTATGTAGGTCTTTGGTTATTCGGGTTTTCTCCCGCGCTATATCTATCTATCTATCTATCTATCTATCTATCTATCTATCTATCTATCTATCTATCCATCCATCCATCCATCCATCCATCCATCCATCTATCTATCTATCTATCTCTATCTCTATATCTATCTATCTATCTATCTATCTATCTATCTATCTATCTATCTACCTACCTATAAATCACTATCTATCTATCTATCTATCTATCTATCTATCTATCTATCTATCTCTATCAATCTATCAATAAATCTATATCTATCTTTATCTATGTATTTATGTATCTATGTATCTATCATTATCTATCTATCCATCCATCCATCCATCTATAAATCTATATCTATCTATCTACCAATCTATAAATCACTCTATCTATCTATCAAGGTGGACAAAGAGGAGGTGAAGGGGGAAAA